CGTTGTTAGATTGCCATTTCGGCATGAACTTCCAGTTGACATAGGCGATTCGCTGCCTATCGCTACCGTACTTTATAATAAAATGGAAACGAGGCTGCGCTGGCGAGCAGAGTATAACGAGTTCTTAGAAGAATATCGTTCATTGGGACATATGAGTTAGATTGACAGTCTCGGTGAAACCGTTATTGATCCTGTATATATTCCTCATCATCCTCCGGTTTTACGCGAATCTAGTTGCACCACGAAATTACGCGTTGTTTTTAACGCCTCTAGTAAAACGACAAATGGCACGTCGCTGAATGATCATCTATTGGTTGGACCAAAATTACAGCAGGACCTCCCTGCCATTCTGTTACGTTGGCGGCAGTGGCGTTTTGTTTACACTGCGGACATTGCAAAAATGTTTCGACAAATTCTAGTTAATCCCCTCGATACCGATTTCCAACGCATCCTCTCGCGCCCATCCTGCGACAAGCCGATCGAACATTTCCGGCTTCTTACGGTAACGTACGGGCTCACTCCTGCTCCATATCTCGCGATACGCGTTTTAAAACAACTATCGTTAGACGAGGGCTCCAACTATCCTGCTGCGGTCCCGATACTTAGTGAATCAATCTACATGGATGGCGCGCTCTTCGGTGAGGACGACGTCGAGTCACTAATCGAGTGTCGAATTCAATGGGGTGATCCCGATTGATCACGGCTCTCGATTGGACACCACCACTCACAGCGACCGGTGCTTAGGAGCTTTGTAGTCTCAAGCGCTGTGAGTGGCTCGTGTCCAATTGAACCGTGTCCAACTGGGTGCCACCCGAATTCAATTAGCGGAGCTCCTCAAGAGAGGAGATTTTTAACTTCGAAAATGGGCCTCGAATTTTCCTGAACTTCTTCGCGATTTGTCAATTAATCAAACCGATGTGACTAATCATCTCTTATTGCAAAACGAGACTCTTAAGGTGCTTGACATCTCGTGGCTTCCCCACGCGTTTCGATTCCTTGTCGACACTTCGTTGCCGGTCGCACCAACGAAACGCTCTATTCTGTCGATTATTGCAAAACTGTATGACCCCCTCAGCTGGGCCGCTCCAATCGTAATTGTAGCAAAAATTTTGTTACAAGAGTTGTGACTTCTCCAATGCGATTAGGATACCCCCCTTCTTGACGACTTTCGTCAACAATAGAAGGAATATTACTTCAATTTAGAGTCTCCGAATAATGTCCGGATACTGCACTGGACCGGTCGACACAGAGACAATCTTGCATTTGAAATACACGGCTTCGCTGACGCCTCTAATCAAGCCTATGCAGTCGTTGTCTATCTTCGCGTTCTTCATTCACTTACAGACGTTCAAGTCTGTTTGCTTGCTGCAAAAACGAAAGTCGCGCCTCTTAAAATGCTTAATATACCGCGACTTGAACTGAATGCTATCGTTCTCTTGAGTAGATTGATTAAGTGGGTTCAAACGGCGCTAAACTCATTTAAACTTATTTCACTTCTTCCTCGAGTTTTCGCATAGACCATTGTTTTATTAGCAATAGATCGCTTATAAAATCTTTCCGCCAACATAGTCTCTCATTTCTTGCCATGCATGATCTCTTAGAGGTGACCCTTGATTTTCCGAACCATCGTATTCCTCCCCGCGAAATCAGTGTTCGCAGTTACTCCTCATTTAACACCGATGAGTTTATCAGCACCTTACGCTCCTTTGACTGATCAGCTATGTGTCGTTCCTCCCTCCTTAACGATAAAGTGGATATCTTAAATCGTTTCCTTGGTACTGCTCGATACTCATGTTCCGCTTCGTTCCTCAGAGCCAGAAGACCTCCGGCTCCATGGCTCGATCAGCCCATCAGGATTTTCATGCGGGAGCGGGATGCTGCGTGAAAACACTTTCGCTTGCATCCTTCCCCCGCTAGCTGGAGTGCCTTCCGTCTTCTGCGCAATCAGGTCAGCCTCCGGGTTGACTCTTCTAGAAATGCCTATTTAATGTGTCGTCTTAATTCCTCCTCGTCTCCTTCGCGACTCTGGTCTGAGCTCAGGTCAATGGGTCTTACCAAGCCGAAATCCTCTCCCCCGAACTATAAATTTTCGCCAGAAAACCTTAATTCTTTCTTTATCTCGGCTCAACTCTCTTCCTCTTCCTTTGTATCCTCTCAAAAATCCTACAGCATATTGTATTCAATCAACTCTCAGCTCATCTTCAACATCTCAATCTCCTACATCCCTTCCAGGCTAGTTTCAGGTGCGGCCACAGCACGCAGACGGCCTTGGTTAGGCTAACTGACGATGTCAGGCGTGCCATCGATAAAAGAATGGTCACATTACTTGTCCTTTTTTATTCTCCAAGGCATTCGATTCGGTGGATCATAACCTGCTTCTGCTAAAGCTCTCTAATTTCCGTATCTCAAATCCTGTCATAAACTAATTCCGGTCATACCTTTCAGGCAGGCGGCAACGTGTGCGGGGTCCGGATGGTTTCTCATCGTGGTCCCCTGTGAGCGCCGGGGTCCCCCAGAGCTCAGTACTGGATCCTCTTCTCTTCGCCATCTTTATTAATGACCTTGCTGCATTGTTACCATATTTTGTATGCGGACAATCTGCAAATATATCTCCACTTCCATCCTCATGAATTGGAGATTGCTTTGGGACGGATCAGCGAGGACATCGCCTCTATCTCGCGATGGTCGCGCCAGAATCACCTCCAACTAAATCCAAGCAAAACCAAGGCCATCCTTCTGGGTAGTGCTCGGTATGTTGATGATCTCAGAACGCATCGCAACATTGAGTTGTTTCTAGATGGCTTTCCCATTGAACTCGTCGATAAGGTGATCGATTTGGGTGTCTCCTTGTCGAGCATGCTTAGTTGGACTGGCCATGTGAGGCTGATCTCCAATAAAGTAAATGGCATTCTGTGGAGATTTAAATACAGGAAAAATTGTCTTCCTACTCGCCTTCGAGTTCGGCTTGTGTCCTCACTGATCTTCCCCCTTTTTGATTATTGCGCTGCCGTATTTACTAACATTACTGTACAGCTCAGGCTTAGGCTTAGGCGTCTGATGAATGCTTGTGTGCGCTTCATTTTCGATCTTCGCAGGGAAGAACACATCTCTCCGTTTTACGCTAGGTTGGAATGGCTGACTGCGGATGACAGAAGCGTCTACCTTATGTGCTGTTTTCTATTTACGATTCTTCAATCGGGTTCCCCTCCATATTTATCCTTCAATTTTCATTTCCACAGCACATCTCGGGCCACTTTGCGGGCTTCCCCTCTTGACCTCACCGTCCCTTCCTGTAGAACCGCTTGCTATCAATAATTCTTTCTCTCCATTTTGCTTCCTTTTTATGGAACTCACTCCCCCTCTCCACCGGGAATCTGAATCAGTGAGTTCCTTCAAACGAGGACTCTTCAGTCATCTGCAGCGGCGGGCGAGTGCATGTGAATGAGACTATTCTTGAGTTAACTTCATGTATTTTCTGGTGCATGCTTGTGACCTCCAATTGCGATATTCAACTGCGAAATTTTCTTGTCTCTACGTTCCTATACCGGCTCTGTTTTATATGCTACTTTATTTTATCTGTTGTATTCACTTTTATTTTATTTCATTCTATTTCATTTTATTTATACTTTATTTCATATATCACATGTTAACCATATATTTTTATTTCATATTTTTACTGTATATCTTATTCTGTTTCTTACAACATAACATATCACTTCGTAGCATTATTGTGTTACATGTATGTTTCAGTGTCATATATTATCATATCTGCGATATATATATATATTTTTTAGATGTTAATTTTTTTAATGGTTGTTAATCATTATTTCGGAGTTTATATCATTTACAGCATTGTATAGTCTCTTAACCGCTTGCTTTTGATTTATAGTTTGTTATATCTTTCTCCTTATGTATTTTCTATATATCAGCCTTACGGCTACTTATCTTGAATGTACTTAGAGTTCGTCCTAGAACAACAATAAACGCTCTATCTATCTATCTATCTATCTATCTATCTAAACTCGTCCCCCGCTTTGATATTCAGCTGGTCGGATTCTTCGATCGCGCTGGCATGGTTGCGCCAACATCCCGCTAAGTGGAAAACGTTCGTGGTCAATCGTGTGTCTGAAATCCAGAGTAACCTACCATCAGCGCGATGGTAGGTTACTCTGGATTTCATGTACCGTCAAAGGATAACCCTGCCGACTGCAGCACCTCTCGAGGTCTATCAGCCGACGAATTGTCCACTCACTCATTGTGGTGGATCGGCCCAAAATGGCTAACCGAGTCGTCGACTTCTTGGTCGTCTCACGACGTCTCCTTTTCGCCTGATCATGGCACCGCTCGACAAATTTCCGATGAAGCTCGTGAGACCATTATCCTTCACGTCGAAAGCGAGGACGAATGTAATGGGATTTATAAACTTTCTATTAGCTTTCAAACTGGACTAAACTGATTCGAGTCACGGCCTACGTTCGTCGATTCGTCACAAAATTGAAACGAGAGGGCAGTATTTTCTCTTCTCCCCTCTTAAAGGTGAAGAACTTCGCGACGCTGAGTTTTTCTGGCTCCGCTACGTTCAAAGGGAAGCGTTTGCACCAGAAATGAAATCGTTGAAAAATAATTCCTGTCTTCCTCGATCCAATCCTCTAAAGTTGTTACATCCATTCGTTAATACAAACTCATTACTCTGTCTTGGCGGGCGGTTGAAAAACGCTGCTCTCAGCTACGATGAGTAGCATCCTATCATTCTTCCCAAACATCGTATAGCTAATCTCTTAATACAGCGCGCGCACAAGACAACCCTGCACGGTGGAGCGCAGTTGGTCATAAGAATGCTGCGTCAACGATATTGGATATTATGGTGTCGGAGCGCCGTGAAAGCCTGTATTCGTAAGTGTATCACTTGCACGCGCCACTCCGCGCTACCTTGTTCACAACTAATGGGAGAGCTTCCCTCTTTCCGCATTAACTCGTCGCCTCCGTTTGAGCATACCGGAATGGACTACGCCGATCCCTTTAACATTATTCCATTCGTCGGACGCGGACAAAAGAGGACTAGGAGAGCATACGTGACTTTATTCATTTGCCTCGTTACAAAAGCGATTTATTTTGAATTGGTGGAAGACTATTCCGCTGAAGGATTTTTGGCCGCGTTCAAAAGATTTTCGAGTCATCGAGGATTATCGCGTCACATATATAGTAACAATGGCACCAACTTTCATGGGGCTGATCGAGAATTGCAACGTCATTTTCGTACTTTAAAAAATGACCCTGATATGCTAGACATTTTCGCCGCCGACGGTGTAGATTGGGAATTCATTCCGTCGGCTGCTCCGCATTTCGGCGGCCTGTGGGAGGCCGGAGTTAAAAGTTTTAAAGCGCAACTGAAGAGAATCGCCGGGACGCGTACAATCTCGCAGGCTGAGTTTGCGATGCTTCTCTGTCAAATTGAAGCGTGCCTTAATTCCCGTTCTATTGCTGCTCTTAGCGATGACCCTAGCGATTTGTCTGCGCTCACTCCTGGACATTTTCTAATAGGCCGACCGATGATCGCCGTTCCGGAGGAATCCGTGCTCACGATTAATCCGGATCGACTTTCGCGCTGGCAACTTATGCGCTCTATGTAAGAGCAACTCTGGCATTTTTGCTCGCGAGACTATTTACATTCGCTTCAACAGAGAAATAAGTGGCGAAACACTGAGCCAAATCTGGCTGTCGGTGAACTAGTTAAAAATCCATTGTTCCGCCAAACAAATGGGAACTACCGAGAATTCAACAGATCCACCCGGGATCTGACGGACTCGTTCGTGTAGTTACGATCCGCACCGCACTTTCACTTTTGAAGCAACCTATAACGCAATTGTGTAAACTGCCTATAAACTGTAAATCTTCTGTATCCGAAACGACTGATTGATTGTGTTCTCTTTGCTGTATCAAAGTGTTGATTTATTCAAGTTTCATTGTTTTCATATCAGCGTCAATTATAGTCGCCACTGAGCGTTCTTTAATTAGCGCTGCTACTGTGTAATTTATGTCTACTCATTCTATTAATTCTGTTACTAATCCAATTCGTATACCCTAGTATACGAGGCGGGCGGTATGTTCAGATTTCCGTTAGTTATTAAGGAGAGACTTCCAGATCGTCCGAAATTGTTTGTTTCTTATGTATATTGTTTTCGACTTTCGAGCGATTTTGATGTCGAAATATGTACTTGCGTGCGTCCGCGGAAGAAGGTCCTCAAACACGTGAAAAAGGGGACCTTTAACGACGTTGTTATTGTCACTCCTCATTCGTCACTTCTTACTAGGCCGATCGTATCGACGAATCGCGTTATCGATAGCAGATCCGCGAGCCGGTCAAGTTCGCGTACGTGAAAAGCAGTTCGAATCCGGACTTTCTGATATTTCAGAGTATCATTAAGAAATAAATTTCTATGTCAATGATCGCGTTAAAATCGGACAGACGAAGATAATATGGTTGTGTTCTCACGAGAATGGGCGATGGAGAGACACATTCTTTATTTTAAATATATTCATACAATCCGCATGACCCAGATTTTAACGGGTCATGAGTGCCTTGGGGCCTACCTTTTTGAGTTACAGCGTAACGCGTAGCCGATTTGTGCGCATTGTCATGCGACTGCGGATACGGCGATGCACACGTTGTTGTTTTGCCCGTCTTGGGCCGCGAAGAGAATGTCACTTTTTGAGCGGTTGGGGTTCGATCTCCTTGACAGGGCATACGATTCTATTGTCAGGGTGGCTATATGCTCGGCTGCGTGGACGGTCCTCGCGGATTTCTGCTAGGCCGTCGTGCACAAGAAGGAGCGGGCCGAGTGGGAGCGTCTGGCAAGGCAAAGGGCCTCTTTGGAGTCTGATGACAACCATGTGTAAAAATGTGTACATAATGTATTGGGTATGGGAATAAGTTTCCGCCCTTTTAAAATGAAAAAGATGTATTTATTTAAACAAAACAATACAAAGTAAGTTCATTCAAAGTATGCTCCATCAGAAGC